GTGCTGTAGAGCTGGCACATAGGAGCAATTCCTGCTGCCGCACAAATGTGTAGCTGAGGGTGCCACACTTTTGGTCTCTTCTTTCAAGAAAGAGATGGACCCAGTGGAGGGAAGGAAGACTCATCACTCCAGGAAATGTAGCCCAAGGAACCTGTGAAGCCATGGGAACTACACTGCTCCAGAGGAGCCTGGGGGGGATGATGAGCATGGCTATTGCACTTAACATATATGAAAAACCTGCTGCTAAAAGTAAGAAGCAGCAATTAAAAATAAAGGAAATTTAAAATAGATGATGATAACTATTTTGTGGTTGGAAGGCATGCTTTACCAATAAATCAGTACATTATTAGTTTGAAGTTTCAGTGGCTGCAAGTCCTTAAGAATTCCCAAGCACATATATTGAGGTTGTATCTCAATCAACTCTACTTATTTAGGGCAAAGAGAAGATGAAAACTAGACTGTACTCCTTAGGTCCCCGAGCACCTGCAGTGTTGGTTGAACCTAGCATTTAAATCAGATGTGAAATAGTTCAGGTCTGTGCTTGTCTGTTTATGTAGTATATTCTTCAGGGACCAGAAGTAAACCTGCATTTTTTTCTCATACAAGCATGTGGCATAGCATGCATAAAAAACAAGAGAGTATAAAAATGATACCATATAGACATAGACAGTGCTTAAGTGCAAGGTTTTTTCTTTTCGGCACATACACAAACTTAAAATGAGCCTGTATACACATATATATAGATATTTTAAAAGGGTCGTCAGTTGCCAGTTAATATGGTAATCTTGATTGTTTCATGTTCAGATATTGTCAGTATTTTTATTTTGTCCCCATCTAACAAAGTATTAGTCTACATTCATAAAATGTGTAAATATAAAAATGCTTTGTATATAAAATATCAGCTATGTATAAATATAATGGATTTTCTTGATTTGGGTCTGTTTTGCAAAGGAAAAGGATAAAAATTGAATCAACTAATTTATTTCCTGTATAATTTGCTGTATGTGTAAAAATGTATTAAACTGTGTGAGCTGAAGTGAGAGATGTTTTTTCAACTACTGGAAGCCTTGTGTTCCCCGAGAGGCCAGGTCCTGGATGGGGGTTCCTAGGACAGGAGTCCTAGAGGAAGCATTTCTAGTTACTGGAAACTCTCTCATGTGTGTGGTGCTTAAGTCAGCAACAGAGGGTTGCCCTAATGTTCATGCAGTTCATTCAAACACTTTTTACAATTCTCACTGTCAGTTCTTAGCAACTGCTGGTATCTTACATAGCTGGAATTAAATTCTCTGAGTGTGTTTTACTGAGCAGGGACAGTGTTATTTGCCATTACTGTAAGCTATCAGATGGTTTATACCATTTTCCTACAAGTATTTATGCAGTTGTACACTCACTGAAGCATGCTCTTCAATTTTTAGGCATTTACCATGAAGTGGTCCCTCTGCACAGAAACAGACTCTGTGGGCTTCAGTGGCTGCAGTTAGGGTGTCCCTGTAGAGAACTAAAGTGCAAGGTTTAGGTTCTCTTCTAAAGTTGTTACTGACTCTCTGAGGATTTCAGTGTGATCTTTTAAGGAGTTACATACATAATTATATACTCCTCATGTATATTTTTCCTCTTCTTGTGCCATCCTGTTTCATCATGCATTTCCAGGAGGCATAATGGATGGATTTAAAGAATTAAATGTAGTATCTGTAAAACATTGCCCAATGCTTAGCTGGACTTCATCTGTTTACAGCAAAGAGCTGGAGTATAATAAAAAAAATTTGAATAATAACAATAAAAATTTGAATAATCCTGTTTGAAGTTTTTAAGAAATCATGTGAACACCTGGCTAGGTGACTCAGTGATCTACATTGCTTCACCAGAGGAAAACATGATGTGCAGAAAAGGATCAGATTTCATCATGGCACCTGAGGCAGCAGTATATTCCATTTCAAGTTCTCTGAAATACATGTCAGAATTGTTCATTAACAAATTCAACAGGTTATTGTGAATGAAGACTTAATGTGATAGCACATAATACATTTTCAAATCTGCCCCTCTATCCCATATTTAACCTGTTCTGGAAAGTACAAGGAAAAAGGACAAATATATCAGCACTAGCTGTGCAAATCCACTTCTGCAGGGAATGAGGGAGTCATGTATCACGTGCTGCCCTGACTCTTGAACAGAAATCCAGTGATAAGTCTGAATTGAAAGTAGCTTTTCATATAGCTAACATATCTCTCATCCAAAAATAAGAAAGCACAGGCCTCTCTTGCTCTCATTGGACAATGTGTGGCAGAAGACTCTTCTCTGCTGTCCTTGCTACCTGTCAATATTCAAGGCTAAAAATTGGCCAAAAATGTCAGTATTACAGTATTCAAGGTTCAGGGCTCAGGTGCATAAATACTTAATTTTATTACAAATATACCCTGTTTAATTCACCTGGTAGTCTCAGAGACTGAATGGCTCTGGATTGGAGTGGAGACAATCACAGTTTTACCATTCTCTTTCTCTTCTCTTCTCTATGAGCAGGCATTTACTGATATTATATTATAGGTTTTGGGATTTTGACTTTTTTTTAATACACAACTTGTTTATATAGAAGATCATTTGCAAGTATTTACCTTTGAAAACTGGGATAAATAACTTGACTAGTAAGTTCTTCCAGAATACAAGACATGTTTAGGCAAACAAACATATATAGCTGGCTTAGAGGAGCTATGTATCTCTGCAGTTAAATCTGCTGCAGGTGATGCATTTGTATTGAGTTTTGAGAAGAGGCTTGAGGCCAAGCACTAAGAAAACTCACAAAAATTCCATTTTTAAAGACCATTACATTCCAAGTACTCCTTTTGAAGATTACTCTGATTAGAACACTTTCTATTCTGCTTCTAGTGCATCAATGAGCTGATTTTCTGAGAAAAGATTTTTTTTAACAGGTTACATGTTGCCCTTTCCCCTGATGCAAAATATGTCTGTTTTTATTTAAAAGGGAAAAAAAAGGAAGGACAGCCTTAAAATAGCTGCTTCTGAAGACTGCAGAACATTTTTGCGTTTGCCTTTGGCTCTGCTTTGAGGCAGTGCAAAAATCTGAATCAGATATTGCTGCCACAGTGTCTCTGGAGTGGTGTGGGAGCTCTACAGTGGGGACTGACAGGTTATTTTTCTGAGAAAAGCAGCATGAAGGACTTTAAATATAGAAGGGAGATAAGTTGAAAAAAGTAGATCTGCCATCAGGAAATAACAGAAGCAGGAACCAAACACTTAAATAGCTCTACAGGATTAATACATGCTGCAGAAGGATATTAACTATGCAAATGTGTTGTAATTTAAGTTGGCATAATCTCTGGGTCATTTTATCTAGTACCTTTCATCTAGGCATTATTGCCAATATCCATACACAAAATGCTTCCTTTTTCTCCCCAGAGTAGTAGTTATGTACCCAAAGAAAAGCCACTGAGATTTAAGGTAGCAGAAGAAAAGCATAGGCTAGCCTACAGGGAAAAGCATTTTCTTTTTCTAAAACCCCATCTGCATTATTTGGAAACTTCTGAAACTTGAGAAGTTTTCCCCCCAAGGGGGTGTGGAGCAGTGGAACAGACTGCCCAGGGATGCAGTGGAGTCACCATCCCTAGAGGCTTTTAAAAGCCTTGTGCCACAGGGTGAGATGATTTAAATGGGGACTTGGCAGTGCTGAGTTAATGGTTGGACCTTTATGATCTTAAAGGTCTTTTTCCAACCTAAATGACCCTAAATGGCTTAAAAATACCCTTGATTTCTCTGTTGCAAAGAAGATGGATTCCATATAGATTCGCCCTTCCTTCAGGCAGCATTGCTGTTTTCAAGCACAGCAAAGGAAAAAATAAAATAAAAAAATAAAATAAAACAAAAGAAAAATAATAATTCAAACATTACTGAAGGCAGCTCACATCCAGAAATCAGCTATAAAAACCCCATTTAGTACAAGTCTCAATGTGTTCACAAGAACAATATTGAGCTTCAAAGTTTAACCATCAGATAGCTGATAGTTACTGAGGTGCCTCAGCAGGAAGTAGATGCCATATTCAGAGACAGATTTCCCAAATTTAGGAAAAGGAAAGTCCACACCTACAGCCTTCACTGTTGTAGTTATGTACCTCCTGTGAAACAAAGCCTTTTCTGCACTGGAGACATTTTACTGGAGCTGTGCTCATTCAGAGCAGGGCTCATTTCAGGCTTTGGGAACTATTTTCAGCAACAACCTGCTAATCTTAAAGAGTCTGCTTTGTTTTAACTGTAATCCTGCTGCTTTAAACACTAGCAAGTCCTGCAAAAATCACATTTGAAAACAGGAAATTGTGCTGTAAGTGGTGTGTAATAAGGGCATGGGACATAAAACCAAAAAAACACTTCCTTGTACTCTTCCTACACAATTTGTATTCTTTAAATGCTCAACCCATTCACTCTTTCCTATTTGTAAGGTGAAGAAGGGATGAATTAATCAGCATTTTAGTGGCTGAAGAAGGTATTAGCAGGTCTCTGTTCTGGAACACAGATGTGTTGGATACAAAGCATGTCAATTTCAAGAAAATCCAGTTAGGCATGTCCGGAATCCATTCTTTTTCCTTTCAATTAAGAACTTCCTGCAGAACACACTTGAAATCCAGCAAAGGGTTTGAACCTGGTACCTCTGCATCTTATATGCTTGCTCTAAAACCATTCAGTCATTTGAAGAAAGCTGAAATACAATTTTAAGTACTCTCAAAGGTTCAGAACCTAATTCCATCTCTAAAAAAATAAAGATTGAAACTATACCTATTCAAATCCTTACCAAATCTTTCACTGGAGAACAGCTGGGGTTGCAACACTAGCCCAGCTGAGGACAAAAAGAAGATGGAGCAGGTACAGCTTAGCTGTACTTTTGGAGTTGGTCCTCTCAGCTCAAAGCCTGCTAGCACTTCAGTGGCCAATGAATAAAGAAATTACATGTTATAAAGGCAAAACGCATGGGAAGGTTCACAACACATGACACCAGCTTAACATACGACCACCATTTGCATGTAGTAACTTTATTGGCAGAAGAAAAATAGGTTTTTTCTTATTTCCTATGATTTAGCTACTGAATCCTGTAATTACTGAACTGGAATTTCACATCAGCAACTAGCAGGAAAAATAAAAAAAAAAAGAAAAGAAAGAGTCAAATCACAGTTTGTGTTTGTGTGTAGAATACTAATTTATGTCATCAGGGGCAGCTGCTGAGGTGTCATTCTGAGTTATAATTACAGGCACCAATTTGTTCTACTCAGCAGCAGGTGGTGATAGCATTTTGTAAACACTGTAACCAAACAATTTCACTTGCAAGGTATTCCCTCTGGAAGCTTTGTAAATTGGGTTTAACCTGCACCAAAAAGCAGTTAGGGATCAGAAAGTGAAGTTAGTCCCAAGCAGGTATTTATTGTGGTGCTCAGCTTCAGGCATCCTTATTGGGCGCAGCAGAAACCACAGAACATCCCCAGGGGCTGTTTATTCCTTTCTTCAGTCTCCTTGGAGATTTACACTTTTCTTGACCAATGAATTTTCACAGACCTCCCAATGCCAGGCTCAGCCTTCACAGTCCTTGTGAATTATTATCCTTCAGAAGCTGGTCATGAGTAGTTGTTTAAAAATGAAGAACAGTGCAAGAAACAAAAAAAAAAAATCAAAAAGCAAAAAAATAATACTGGGCAGAAGTTTTAGACCACAGAAGGCATCAGAATAAAGCATTCAGTGTCTTACTTCTTGTCTAAACTGAGCTCTATCAGTACAGCCAGTCTTACATACAATAAAAAGCACAGGTCTGAAATGCTTTCTTTTTGTCAAAGGAGCACAAGGCCCAGAAAGGCTTCAAACTGGACAGTAATGGAGATGTTTGCCTTAAAGTAAAGGATTCTTCAGTCAAGGATCCAATGTTAAGATTGCGCCACCAGTTTGCTTTATAAAATGATTGGTGGCTCTGAGATGAGGAGATCATCCTCGCCTAATGAAGAGTTCTGCTCCGTGTTCACAAAGTTAGGAATGTTAAATTTTGTAAGACAATGTAGGTCTTCCTCAAACATTGCACTGCTCTTGGGAACCTCCTGGAAGTGGGTATTACTCTCCAGACTTGGACCTTTCTGGCTCTCTTTTTCTTTGTTCATATGGTCCACTTCATTAATGCAGAAATGGAAAAGTGACTGGGATTCTTCAGCCATTTGGTGAGAAAAGACCCTGTCAGACTCCAAAGGTCTTCCAAATTCTGCCACAAAGCTCTTCATGTGAAATCTTTTTTCAGAAAGCTCTGCATTGCTATAGAGGAAAAAGAAAAATGCAAATGCTATAGAGGAAAAAGAAAAACACAAAAGTAAAACTATCTGAATTCTTATCAACTAGCTTGGTTTCAGGAACCATTATGATCAGGAGAAAAGGAAACCCTACAGTTTATCTACCACAGACTTTGAAAGCCAGCACTATTTATTATTTTCAGCTGAAGCAATGTTAAGTCTTCGTTTGTCATGACAATTTTCCATGGGAATAAGTTAATGCCAGCGCTCTTAAATGGCACTTTAGAATCAACAGACTGCAATAATCACCTCACTGAATGAGTTTATAAACACTCTTGATTTCAAGTAGTAACAGTTGCTTTAAATGGCTCATAAGAACAGTTTGAGAAAAGTCCTTGATAGACAAAATGTTCTGAGGCACAGGCAGCTCTGCTCTCACTGACATCAAACCCTCTTTTCCACTGACATCAATCAATGACATTCAGATTTCCAAATTAGGAGAGTTGGAACTAAAGACTGCTTTAGACACTGGCAGTCTTAACAATCCCAGCAGCCAGGAAGGATGGTTTAACATGTTTTTTTGACAGTTTTCTTTATAAACCTTAGCTCAAACCAACACCAATCTGCATGGACTCAAGCAGGAGCCATTTGCAGCTGGGGGTGAGAGGAGCTCAAGCTAGAGAGCAGTTCTACAGATTCATTGTGAGGCTGAATTTACATGCTACCATCACAAAATGCAAGTTATTTGCATTTAGAAGGCAGTAGAGGTATTCAGAGAATAAGCAATGAAACACGTTCTCAGAATATGAATTTTTTTAAGAACTAATAAGTCATACTGTTTACATCTGGAGATGCAGCAAATGATGCTGGAGTCAGATAATTGGACACCTAAAGGTCCACCCAGCACTGAAGAGTTTTTCAGTAAAATTTCATTTCCTTAAGCCTGCAGTGGGAGATAAGTGCCTCAGATGACACCTTCAGAAAACCACCCACTAAAATTTTCACAGGATAGCTAGCATTAGTCTCAGGCACAGTTAAAGATCCCTGCCTCTCAAAAGCTAATTTACTTCCATTACATGATGGGGGAATTCTGTCCTCACAAAATCACTTCCACTAGCCCAGAAATCAAAGCAGTTCTCTAGTTTGTCAAAACTGTATTGGCTCACTCTGCATTTCAAAGTGAACCAGGTAGAAGAATAATGTTCAATTGATGTAAGACTGACCAGTAACCAAGTAATAATCTACTGTATACACAGCAGGGGCCAAACAGCCTGGAATAATTCTGAGCTGACAACTGACATTTATGTATTTATAATGCAGTAAAAAGCACCACTCTGAGTTTAAGTTTCATATATAATTTGGCAAATTGCCTGTGTTATGGCACAGGCAGTAGAAGTGGCAAATAAGCACAGAAAGAAGGACAAGCCCTGTAAGCCCAGGAAGAAGTGACTGCAGAAGAAAGTTTAAAATGAATCCACTGCAGGAGTGGAATTACTTCATAGGTGTGGAAGGTGCTTCATCATCCAGGGAAGTATGAGGGAGCAAAGGCTGACCATGCAGAGGGGCACACAAGACTGGCAATGGCAACCTGATCTTAATGGAAGATGCAAATAAATTTTACAATGCCCCAGAATATCAAGGCTATATAATGAAGCATAAACCTGTGCTCATGAGCAGGAAAGACATGATCTAATATACAGTGATATTTTTGGATTTTGAAATTCACAAACACCATCTTTGAATTTCAGAGTGGAATTTTATTACTTTTTTTAAAAACTAGACTAGAAACTAGCATAGTCTTGCTCATTGCAATCTGCAATAATTCCTCAGCAGGTATCTTTTCAGCCCACTCAAGAAAAGCAGCCTCAAAAATCCCAGGTTTACTTAAACAAAATCAACTGATTTCTTAAAAAAAAAATGTTATCTAACATTTACTGCTTTGAGATTACACCAGCCATTATTTTGTACAAATAGGTTGCATGATCTCTTGCATTTGTTGCACAAATGTGCTCTTAAGGACGTGTTCAAATGCAGAAACAAACATGGCATGCTTTACTCTCCTAGTGATGAATAAAAGCATTTTTTGGAAATTCAGATATTGCCAAATTTTTTTTTCAGTTGCTACAAGCTAATGTTTCACACATACTCATGCATGCAAGGAAACAAAAGATAAATGCAACAGACTTAATTTCCGTAACTTCTTTAAATTTCTGCCAGTCCCCATCCATACCCTGTCCATTCTGGTCTGAGAATGTACCTAATTCTGAACATCTTGTGTAATTTTGAAAAGTACATCCTATCACAGCCCTTTATATTGAGCCAAGAAAAGCCTACTACTAGGGGAAAAAAAAAAAATCAGAGTATTCTACTTTGGATCCATCCATCTGACCCAGACACACCTAATCTCTCACATTAATGGTACTTCAAAGAGCAGCCAGATAGCCCTCCTGAAGTCAGAGACCTGGGAATCCTGTTAACATCTATTTTCTGTTTCCTAGGAGGGCTCAAGGCAGCCCACCAATGAAAAGCCAAGCCATGAAGAATCCAGTCAGGCATGGAAATAGAAGGTGCAGGCAAACTAAAACAAGTGGGTTTACAGGTAGCTGTTCTCCAGTTTTTATACACATGTATCAAAAATAAGAGAAGCCAACTGTATTCCCTGCCCTTCGCATATTCCCAGAGGATCCATGTTCAGTACCATAAGAATTTCATTACCAAATGTCAAAAAACTGCTCAAATTTGTTAAAGGTGCCAGCTCAGCATGCATGGCAAGTCGGCAAGTACTCAGGAACACAGCTCCCAAAGCTGCAAAGAGATCCATAACAAATATAAAAAAGAATAATTGGTCTCACTCCAGCAACTGAAGAAAAATTATACTAAGGTGTAGAACAGAAGGGACTTCTGGAAGTCTCAAGAAAGGCAAGTCTGAATTCTGATTTCATTATCTGAATGAAGATGACCAAAGGTGGACATTTCACAAACCCTTAAGGACACTGTTCTGAGAAAATTGATGAAAAAAGCAGAAAAAAGTGGGAGATATGAAGTAGGCCTCTGCTACCTGGAAGTAAATTTTTACAAGCGTAAAATTTTTTTGCACACATCCATATTAAATTATATATATATATATGTATTTTTGACTTCATGTTTTCCCCTTTCAGATTGTCCACAAGGGATCCAGACTCATGCTCAGCTAACAAATAAAATCTTTGTGAAAAGGAGGCAGCACACCAACAATTATAGGGATTTTAAATCTGTTTGGGACCAATGTCTGGCTACTTCATAACACTCTGTAAGGGAAAAAAAAAACACCAACACATCAGTTCTGGCAAGCTGGATTCTTCTGATTCTATTTTTTTCTCAAAGGAGCAAAACTTCAGGAGCAGAGCAGAGGATGTACATCAGCCATCTCTGACATGGCCCTGTCCCTCGAGATGTGCTATTACACAGAGTTCCAGAGCCAGTTTACATGTGATTAAACAGCAAAGGGGCTCCAGGAGGCAGAGACAGGCTGCTTTAGGAAGTGATAAGCACCAGCAATTGCCTTTTACAATCATCTTCTCATCAGTGCTACCTGCGTGCAAGCAATCTCACACTGCAGAGAGGCTTTTTATTTCTACTTTAGGGCACACAAGCCTGAGAGGAGATGTGGGTTCACACTTTCTCAGAGGAAGGGACACTGACAGCTTGCATCCTCTGCAAATGCAGATAAACCACTGAGGCAAGGCATGGTCTGCACATACTTATCAGCCAGAAAGAATAAAAAACTGAGGACTTTCAAGGGACCCTGGCTTTAAAGAAATGTCGAGCTGGTCTCTACTTCAGCATCTATTGCAATTTCTCAGCAGAAACCGACACTCGGTCTCAGGGGTTAAGGGAAGATTTTGCAAACACTACCCAAATCTATCCTTGGACTTGAACAAACAAACATTTGGAAACCAACCAAATTCAACATCTGCACTGCATTTTATCTGTACCTACTCTGTTGATATTCACAGTATCACTCCATGAAAACTTGAGCCTACTTAGAACCATCCCACTGAATGCACCTGTTTGGCAGCCCACCCAAAACATCCTTTTAAAATGAAAATGCTAAGATTTCTTGAAATGAAGACAGGCTGCACTGTTTCATAAGAACAGACTGTAACAAGATGGTAGAGTGCCAGCACTGTCACTGCTGGTCTGGGGGCTGCAAGAGCCCAGGTGTGCCACTCAGCAGGCTGGATTTGTTATTCCCATTTTCAGACTCACTCTTGATGTGGTGCTCCTGTCTTCGTCAGCAGGGTCAGGACAAAAAACATGAAGATGACAAAAACTGCAAGACCAACCCAAAATCCAATCACAATGGAATCTGGTGAAAGAAAAAGAAACAAAGGAAACAACATGATCAATATTTTACTTGCACTTGCAAAAAGCTGCCTTCTACAGGCAGCATGAGTGCAAACCCAAAACAATTTGCAGCTTATTTCTGGGTGACAAAGGGATAATCAAATTTATCTTTATCTATTTTTAAACAGAAAGCTGCCACTGAAAATCTCATTTCAAGACCAAATCTTACTGATATCTATACAAATCAGACAGTAGATAACAGAGGGAAGACAATTCTCTTGGTAAGTAAAATAAGAGGAGCTCCCTGTGTGATGCCAGGCCCATTTCCAAGCTTTGGAACTTCAGTGCTAGAACTAGGAAGGGAGGATTATTTGATTTTCCTCAAAATCCTCTGTCTCTGTAGACCTGAACTCCTGCTATTTTAAGTTATTTCTGCCCCAGACCATTAAGTTTCCAGATTCAAATAGAATTCTTTGACAAAATATGTTTAGGAAGACCTTTTACTGGCAAGACAGAGGGTTCTGCAAGAAACAGAACCACAGATAAAACTATTTGCTACATCAATAAATATCAATAACCAACAGATACCAGATGTTTTTGAATAATTTTCAATTTGGGTTTCCAACTGAAGTACAGAAAAGTGCAACACAGTGTCAAAGGAGCACAACAGATTTGAACAAAAAAAATCAAACTAGCAGTTAATCAATAGGAAAACCAGTGCAGTAGCCAAACACAGCAGCCATTGAGAAGAGCATGGCCTTTTGCCTGTGTGCTTAAACTCCAACTACTGTTCTCATTTACAGCAAATGGACCGTAGGCAATTTGCCAGCACTACTAAGAACAAATCTATGTCCACTTACAGCTTCAAGGTAGGTCCACGGCTGCTCCAAGATGTTCAGAGTTTCCAGGAATTTGATTTAGAGAGGTTCAAGTGGAACCAAGATATTTCCAGACACAATCAACTGATTAGCATGGCCCAAAGTTACAGAGTACCAACACTCAACATTACCTGGCCCAGGACCCATCAGCACTCTGTTTTTTTTCACCTGTCATTTCAGTTAGTTATTCTTTACCTACACAAGTATTCAAAACTTCCACTGTAGAAGATAAAAAACAGTAACATACAAACATTCAGGAGGGAAGGCTTGGTCAGGAACCCTTCCAACCCTTACCTCTCCTGACACAGCCACTACCAAGCCCCAGAGATCTCACTGGCTGTAATGTCTGACCCAGTGCAGCAGGCACAGCACTGAACTGTTGAATTTCCTATAGGCCTAATTAAAGGCACTGAAAAAACAAGGAATCAGCTATCCTCCCTGGTGCTTGGCCCCAGCTGTTAATCATGCTCCCACTGTGGAATATCTCCCATGCTAAAAGGCAGATGTGGAAACTGGAAATCAACTCAAACCATGCTCTCTTTTTTCTGCAAAGTCAAAATGCCTGCTGCAACTTGAGACTTTCTCCCTGAGAAAATACTCTATCACAATGAAGTCTCTCCTTAATCCCTCTCTTAGGAAGCTAAGGAGGTTAAGTTTCAAGTCTCCCACTGCAATATTAATTCCATCTCTCCTATGCCATACCTTCCCCTCTCAATACCTTGTGTAAAATAACTGGAATGTAGCTTGAGTATAGATCTCTGTGATGGAGGTGAGGAGATTTTAATAGCCCTTTCTGCTTAAAGCATTCTGCCATGAGCTTTTTTCTGTAATTCCATATATTATGTGCACTAAATTACTTTCAGAATCATTCTGTAAGCACAGCCTGTATTCACTGGTTAAAGATGCACCTTACCTTCCTAATATAAAATAGCTGATCCTACTAGACTTGGTAGTACCTGAAGATTTAATCTAAAAATAAGTACTGCCTTTAAAAAATACCATTTAAGCATTTATAGCTACTAGTACCTTCCAGTTAGTCAGACATGCTTGGATGGTATGCAGCTGCATTAACAACCAGAACATAAAATGCAATCAAGATGACTAAAAAAATATGCACATAGATGTTGGGGTGTGTTGCAATGTCCTGTTTTAAACTTCCGAGTCCCTTCCCAGGTGTGCCTATGCCTCTCTCCCTGCCCCCTCGCCCCCTTGCTGAGTGTGCCCTGTCAATCAGGCTAACATAC